GGCCTTCTCTCCCCTGTAGTGAGGGGAGGCAGCGGGCTGTGTCCTGCTCCCCGGCTAGCTTTGCCTGAAATAATTAAATGGAAACTGTATTCTTTTAAACACTGCCTAGCCCATTAGTTCCACCCTCTTATTGGCTAGCTCTTACATATTGATCTATCCCATTTCTAATAATCTGTGTAGCCCACAAGGTGGCTTACCAGGGAAGATCTTAACCTGCGTCTGTCTGGAGTGGGAGAATCATGGCGACTCACTGACTCAGCTCTTTCTCCCAGCATTCTGTTCTGTCCTATCAGAGGCCAAGCAGTTTCTTTATTACTTAACCAATGAAACAACAGATAGAAAGATGACCCTCCTCCATCACTCCCCAAACTGAAAACCAGGGGTGAAGAAAAGCAGGGGTGTTCTCATCATGTAATCCTGAGGATCTCATGCTCCCGATCCTTCTGCCTCAGACTCCTCGATGCTGGGTTATGGTTTAGACCACAGCAGCTGGACACAGAGTTCTTTGTGGTAGCACGGTTAGTCACACAAACCACAGGAAGATGCCCAATTGCGAGAGGCGCACACATCCTGCGTAGAAAGCAGGAATCTTTACGAAATATGGCTTATCTCACTGTTATGAAAAGATTGGAGCAGAGCAGGGTGGGGAGAACAGTGGGTGCAAGAAAGCATGGGCCTGTAGCCATACTGTGTGTATGAGTATATGTGTGTGTGTGTGCACGCGTGAGTGTGCTATTTGCATGTGTATGTAGACACGAGTGTGTGTGTGCAAATACATATGTGCATGATTGCAATGCAACAATGTATGTTCATGTGTTCTTGTGTGTGTGTGCTTGTGTGTGTGTGTGTGCATGCGTGTGCGTGCGTGTGTTGCATGACTATGGGCACCCAGAGGTGAGAAGAGAGCATTGGATCCCCTGGAATTGGAGTTACTGGTGGGTGTGAGTGTTGGGAACCGAGCTCAGGTTCTCTGGAAGAGTAGCAAGCATTCCTCACTGCTGAGCTATCTCTCCAGCCCCCTTCCAGAATCTTTGTAAAAAAATATCCTTAAAGCTTTATTTTATTTTATGTGTATAAGTGTTCTACCCGCATGTACACTACGTGCACGGTGGTGCCCCGAGAGACTGGACGAGGCTGTGAGCCACCATGAGGGTGCTGCGAACTGAATCTTGGCTCTCTAAGAATGGGCGTTTTCAACCACTGAGCCATCATCTCCCCAACCCCAAGCAAGAATCCTTTCTATTTCCAGTCACATGAGCAAGTTTCAGGATGGGGGATGAGAAGGGGAGCTGCCACATGTCCCTAAGGCTCTGTTTCCTTATCTGTGGTGAGGACAGGCCATGTAGATTTGTCCTCAAAACATACCCTGCACCCACAGGCACCCAGTAACATGCAAATGGGAGACAGCCTCATTTAAAATGTCTCTTGCTGGATTGGGAGATTAAAGCAAGCCTGGGCCTGGGCTACATACAAAGACCATGTCTCAAAAACACCAAAGGGAGAGGGTGATGGAGGCTGAGGCAGGATGGTTGCCAGGAACCAGAGGTTAGCCAGGGATTCACAGTGAGACCCTGTTTCAATACTCCCCCCCCCCAAATAGAGAAAAGAAATGATCAAAAGTATGGCTGAGTGATAGCACTCTTACCCAGAATCCCCCAGAGAGGGGTTGGGGCGTGGCCTAGTATGCACAAAGGTCACACGTGCATTCCATCCCAGGTTACATACCCAGAACTAAAGTTCTTTTTACATATTATTGTTGGTTGTTACCGTTATTATTTTGAGACAGGGTTTCTCTATGTAGCCCTGGATGTCCTGGAACTCACTCTGTAGACCAGGCTGGCCTTGAACTCACAGAGATCCACCTGCCTCTGCCTCCCGAGTGCTGGGATTAAAGCCCTGTGCCACTACACCCAGCACTAAATTTTGAAATTTAGTGGGGGAAGCTGGAGAATGGCTCAGCAGTTAAAAGCACTAGTTGCTCTTCCAGAAGATCCAGGTATAGTTCTCCAAAGTGCACGTGACTCCTATGTTCTAGGGGTTCCAATGCCTTCTGTCCCACAACCCTTGAGATTCTAGGACCCAAACCCAGGGCCCAACATGTCCTAGGCAAATGCTCTACCACCAAGCCACACTTCCCAGCCCCTCACTGGGGGATTCTAGGCAGGGGCTCTACCACTGAGCCACATCCCAGCCCCTCACTGGGGGATTCTAGGCAGGGGCTCTACCACTGAGCCACACCCCAGCTCTCCCAGACTCTTTCTGTCAGTCTTTATTTCTCCATCTATCCCTCTAGCTCCTTGACTTGTGTTGCTGTCTGTGTTCTCTCTCTCTCCCCCTTCCCTCTCGACCATTCCTCATCTCACTGTCTCTCAGTTCCTCTCTCCTGCCCTCACCCTCATCCCTTCACATCATCTTTCCTTCCTCAGGCTGGGGAAGCCCCCACGTGCTGAGCCTCGCCCACAGTCCAGCAGCAGAATGAGACCCAGGTGAGTCACCAGAAGGAAGGAGTGGACATTCTTTCAATTTTTCTACAGGTATAGGTGACTTGGCACCTTCCTTTGTCCCCTACTTCAACTCCTCGCTGGAACCTCTCATCTTTCCTTCCTCAGGCTGGTGAAGCCCCCACGTGCTGAGCCTCACCCACAGTCCAGCAGCAGAATGAGACCCAGGTGAGTCACCAGAAGGAAGGAGTGGACATTCTTTCAATTTTTCTACAGGTATCGGTGACTTGACACCTTCCTTTGTCCCCTACTTCAACTCCTTGCTGGGACCTCCCAAAAGTCAGCACAATACAAAGTCACAGCTGAGAATAAGGGTATGGAAGGAGACAGCTATGTAGGGGCGACGAAGGTGACAGACCCCGATAATGCCAACAACGCTCCTGATCCCCCTGCCTCAGCTTCTAGAACACTGAAATGACAGTTGTCCCTCACCATGCCTGGCATGCTGGAGAGCTGGGGATGGAACCCTGCGCCTCGCCCCAGCCCAGCCCACTGTTCAGTCCCCACATCACCCCAAAAGGGGCCGTTTTCCAAGAAAGGAAACAGAAGGCCTGTGTTGGCTCAGGGTGACACAGCCAGGGAGTGGTCCATCCTGGCCACCAGCAGGGTGACAGCCACTGACCTCAGACTCCCTGGCTCCGCCCCAGCTTCTTGTCACTCAGGAAGAAGAATTTGGAGTCTTGCTGGCTGGGGTCAAAAACACAGCTCCCGCCTCAAAGGGGATGAGAGAGCTCATTCTAGAGCCAAACATGCCTGACCATGGTGGGACACAGGTTCACATGTGTTGACAGTACTGCAAAGTGCAGGAAGGTGGCTTTTGTTTGTGTGGTTGGCTTTTTTTTTTTTTTTTCGTTGTTTGGTCTCTCGAGACACAGTTTCTTTGTGTAGCCCTGGCTGTCCTGTCCTGGAACTTGCTCTGTAGACCAGTCTGGGCTTGAACTCACAGAGATCCATCCACCTGTTCTTTGCCTCCCGAATGCTGAGATTAAAGGCGTGAGCCACCACCACCCAGTCAGTCCCATTTTCTTATGCGTTGAATTATGATCTCTTAGGATAAAGCATTTTATTTGGAACTTTTTCTTTTCCTTTTGGCTTATCTTAAAATTGTTAAAATAAGAAGTGAGAGTGTGGCTCAGTGGTAGAGTCCCTGCCTAGAATCCCCCAGTGAGGGGCTGGAGTGTGGCTCAGTGGTAGAGGGATGCCTTGGGCTCCATCCTTCCTAGCTCAGGCCTCGGTGATTCAGGAGACACACTGTGAGATCACTACTGTACAGGTAGCTGCTACTCACTCATTGCTCTCTGCTCTCTCGGGTTCCCACACACCAGTCACACTGACCTGCTTGTGATTCTGTGCCCTCGGGGCCTTTGCACTGACTGTCTCTTCCCTGTGTTTCTCTCCCAGTCTCTGTTTCCCTGGGCCCCCACTAGACTTCTTTCCCAGCTACAGTGAGACTCCCTCACAGAGGAGCTTGCCTCTCCCTGGTACCCTGGTTCTTCCTTCAACATTTTTCCCTGATGCAAAAGATTTAGATAACAAGACATCCTCCCCACTTCATGGCTATGAGGGTGGGACCCTTGCTTCATTTCCTGTGGTATCCACTGCTCCTGGAATGGTGTCCAGCACAAAGGCGGTCTTGGGGGAGGCGCTGAAGAGCTTGGTGAGCCCTCCATTCTGGCTAGTCAGTGTTCTGTTCTAGATGTGTCCTCTGTGTGGCACTGCTCTGCCTGGGCAAGGTGTGGTACCATGCCCTTGATCCTGTAGCAGGCAGATCTCTGTGAGTTCAAGACCAGCTTGGTCTACAGAGTGAGTTCCAGGACAGACAGGGCTACAAAGAGAAGCCATGTATATATGTATGTATCTATGTATATATCTATGTAGGTATGTATGTATGTATATGTACATTTATATATGAAAACTCTGGTTGATAAGAAACAGTCAAGGCCAGAGATGGTTTTAACCTTTGCTCCTTCTTTCCTTCCTTCCTTCCTTCCTTCCTTCCTTCCTTCCTTCCTTCCTTCCTTCCTTCCTTCCTCCTTTCTCTCTTCCTCTCTTTCTATTTTGTTTTGAGATAGGATTTCTCTGTGTAGCCCTGGCTGTCCTAGAACTCACTCTATAGACCAGGCTGGCCTTGAACTCAGAGATCTTCTGCCTCTACCTCTGCCTCCCGGGTACCAGGATTGCAGACCACACACCTGCCTCAACAAAACTGTTTCTAGGTAGATGGTGGGCATTCTGCGCAAAGCGTTCACTGCGAAGCTCACCTCTTTCCTAACTAGACTCCTATGGTTTCCCCTCCCTGACCTTACTACTACCCGACACTTAGTCACATTCCACCATCCTAGGACACCTGGGATTTGAACACAGCGAATGGGACGACAGGGTTGTGACCTCAGAGACCCTGAGTCAGGCCTCCTGGGATGGGTAGCTTTGTGGGCTAGGGAGGAGGAAGGGGAGGCACCCACACAACCAGGGCTGACTCATGCTTAAGCAAACGGTGGGCGGAGCCCTGGGGCCACAAAACTGTCTCCTTCCCTGTGCTCCTCTCCCTCTAGAGCAGAGGTGAAGGGAGATACCCAGACGCGAGCATGGGCCTCAGGGGGAGGCTGCTGCTGCTGTTGCTGCTGACGGCCTGGGTCCCAGGTAAGGCCTGGGTGGTGACAGCCGGGGTGAGTTAGGGGGAAGGGAGCCCAGCACTCAACCCTTCTCCTCCCACCCAACTACTCTTCGGGTGTGTTCTCCAGAACACATTTAGACATCCCACGTGGAACATTTAGACGCCCGGAGGCATTCATTTAGCAAACCGATCTCTGGCGCTGTCCCAGGCTCTGCAAAGTCAAACTGCAGGACGCAGGAGACACAGAGACGTTAAGTAGCTGGTGCCAAATTGCACAGCTAGCGATTGAATGTGACTCCCGGGGCCCGCTTCCCACAGTGTTCTCTTTTCGGTGGGGGTGGGATCTAGCTTTAGGGTAGGAGGGAGATGATCGCGTCGTGTCCCTACCCCCCCCCCAGCATTTCCAACGGACCCGTCCCTCGAGTACATTTGGCTTTCGCTACTTCCTCACCTGCTTCCTCCAGGACGTGTAGGGGGAAAGGTGTTGAGAAAGCAGAGGAAATGGAGAAGGAATTGAGTCAGCGTTTAGGGCGGTGAATAACCCTCCGGATCCGCGAGAGGCTGGGGCTGACTAATGGTCTGGGAAGGGGACCTTCGCGGGAGGTCCGGGTGGCCAGGGAGCTGGTGGGGGTGCAAAGGGGAGGGACTCTTGGCTTAGAAAGGCGACCTGGCGCAGAACAGACCGGCTCTGAGTTGCAGACAGGACCTCGGGGTCGCAGATGGCTCTTACTGTGAATTAGAGCCCAGGGATGACAGCCCCACGGAGAGGAGCCTGAAGTGGGGGTACCACTTGGGTTCGGAGCAGGCTGTGTGGTTTAGGACAGTTATCTAGCCTTTCTGTTCTGGGAACGTGACTGGGAAACTGGGGAGGATCCAGAGCCTAATAGGCTGGAGCTCCGGTCCTGTTTAGAACCTAGGATGTCTGGGGCGGGGCCACGAGTTTGAGGAAGTATTAGAAGACCTGGAGGAGGGGCTCCAAGCCAGGGGAGGGGCCAGGAGCGGGACTAACTTTTAGGGGCCGTGGTGGGTCTATGACCTGATTTAGGTTCGATTTACAGGGGTCGCCCAAGACCATCGGAAAACACAGATAATTATGATTAATAACAGTAGCAAAGTACAGTTATGAAATAGCAAGGAGCTGGGCGGTGGTGGCGCACACCTTTAATCCCAGCACTCGGGAGGCAGAGGCAGGCGGATCTCTGTGAGTTTGAGACCAGCCTGGTATACAAGAGCTAGTTCCATGACAGGCTCCAAAACCACAGAGAAACCCTGTCTCGAAAGACCAAAAATAAATAAATAAATAAATAAAAAGTAGCAAAGAAAATAATTTTGTTAGGGAGTCACCACAACATGAGAAACTGTATTAAAGGGTCGCGACATTAGGAAGGCTGAGAACCTCTGGTCTATGTAATTAAGGTGAAGTCCGGACAGAGCAGAATGTTGTGGGAAAATGCCCTTAAACGGAGGCAGGTGGATCTCCGCATTCAAGGCCCGCCTGGTTTGCATAGAATTCCAGACTACACATATGTAATGAGACCATTTAAAAAATGTTCAGTGAAATAATATAAATGTAGGAAGAAAATTTAAGGGAAGAGTCAGAGGGCGTGGTTATAGTAGAGATTAGAGTCTGAAGCAGGGCTAAGGGAGTCGGGTATGGCTAGAATATTGGGCGGAGCTAGAGAAGGAAGGTGGGCAGGAGTTATGGGGCGGGGCTAGCGCCTGGGTGAGGGTGGAGCTAAGGTGGGGCTAGAACCTAGCAGAGGTGTTGGGGGGGGGGTAAGAAGAATGCTTTTGGAGCTCACTCAGCTAATTTTGGAGGACTGATGGGTGAGGTTATAGCTTCAGGATGAAGCTCAGGTCTTGGAGAGAGCACTGTAGAGAAGCTACCGAAAGGGGTGGAACCTGGATCTCCAGTGGCTAGGAGATCCATGAAACAGAACTGACCGAGGTCGTATTGGAAGGACACAGCACCGAAATGGGAGCCAGGGTTAGAAGTCCTGCAAGAGGCCAGAGGTACAACAAACGGCAGCTGATGCATGTCTATAATCCCAGCACACAGGAGGCTGAGGCAGGAAGGTTACTGTGAGTTTGAGGTCAGCTTGGACTATATAGCTGGGGGGAAGGGAGCAGATCCTGGCTCTGAACCTGTTGACCACCTCCCTCTCTTCCCCTCGCAGCCTGCCAGGGCCTGAAGTGCCTGCAGTGTGAGAGTAACCAGGACTGCATGGTGAAGGAGTGTGACCTGGACGAGGATCTTTGCAGGACCACGGTGCTTCGTGAGTGGGAAGGTAAGGTCGACCCCCACCGCCAACAATAGGCTAGAAAACCTTCTCTCTCCAGACAGTAAGGAAATGCAGATGTTTAAACATCTAAGGAGGCTGGAGAGACGGCTCAGCACCTAAGACCAGCTGCTTCTCCAGTAGCCCTGAATTCAGTCCGGAGATCCACGTGGGCTGGCGCACAACCACCATAACCAGCTCCAGGAAGGAGATCCGAGGCCCTCCCCTGCACTTTCGTGCCCGTACTCACCTACAGACACACAAACGGATCTTGAAAAGGACCCAGGTTCAATTCGCGGCACCCACATGGCAGCTCACCACCTCCTCCTCGGGCAGCAGGCACGAATATCGTGCACAGACATGCATGCAGGCAAAACACTTATACACACAAAATAATAAAATCTATCTAAAAAGATTTTTTTTTAAATAAAGTATCAGTGAGAAGCCCGATGCCTTAAATCCCAGCACTGGGGAGGCAGAGGCAGACGGATCTCTGTGAGTTCAAGGCCCCTGGTCTACAGAGCTAGTTCCAGGACAGCCAGGGCTACACAAAGAAACCCTGTGTCAAAAAAAAATCCTAATCCTAAAAAAGAAACATGTTGGTGAGACCTGCAGGGCATAAACTGGCACAGGTGCCACACGTAGCAGTACCAAATATTTTTGCTTTGTTTTGGGGTTGGTAGTACGTGGGGAAGGGGGGGGGCATTTGATTTGGTTTGGTTGTTGTTGTTTGGTCCTGGATTATTTTTAAGACAGGGTCTCATGTAGCCCAGGCTAGCCTTAAACTTGCAATGTAGCCAAGGATGACCTTGGACATGCCTCCTGGATTATATATGTGCATGACCTCATCTGACTTAAATGTAACTATCCGAGACAGCAGGGCCATGGTGGCGCACACCCTTAATCTGAGCACTCTGGAGGCAGAGGCAGGAGGATCTCTGAGTTCGAGACCAGCCTGGTCTACAGAGTGAGTTCCAGGACAGCCAGGGCTACACAGAGAAACCCTGTCTCAAAAAACAAACAAACAAACACAAAACCTACCTAAGATAAGGGTAGAGAGACAGCGGAGCAGGTTAAAGCACCTGGTACTAAAGAGCTGGTGCTTCGGGACACACCTGTAGCCCTACTACTGGAGAGTGGAGGCAAGGGGGTTGGGACTCCCAAACCAGTCTGGGCTACATAGCAAGACCCTATTTCAGAAACGTTAGTGTTTTTCTTTCTATTGAAGGTACCTCCCTGCTGGCTTCATTCACCTTGGGAGAGAGTTGTAGATGGATCCAGAAAATCCCAATGGTGTGCATGGGGAAGGGGAAGATAATTCTAGAAAATAACAGAATTGGCCCAAACAAGGAGTGGCACTAGGGACGGGTGACCCCGAGACCAGGAGTGTCAGGGACTGGTGGGGACCAGGGACCCTCTAGGGGACTATACGTGTATTCCTCCTAGATGATGAAGAACTGGAGGTGGAGATAAGAGACTGTGCCCACTATGAGAAGACCAACAGGACCATGAGTTACCGGGTGAACTCCAAGATCATCAGCCTGTCAGAGATCGTGTGTGCCACAGACGGCTGCAACAGGCCAAGGCCTGGTGAGTTGGGTGTCCTCGCCGCCCCCAGCTGAAGCCCCGATTCCACTCCCAGACCTACATCCTTCACCCCAGCACCAAGGCTGTTCCTTACTCTGGGACCTCGCTCATCCCTCTCCAGCCCAGTCCCATGTCACTTTTCCCAGTCGTGTCTCCCAAATCATCTCCCTCTCCATCTCGAAATATTCTCACACCCAATTGTTTTGCTTGGATGAGACGCTTGAGATACACTGTATTGTGCAGGCTGGCTGACAATGGGAGATCCTCCTGCCTCCGCTTCCTGAGGGCTGGGATTATAACTCTGAGCTGCCACACCTAGCCATTCCAATACTATGGGATTATAAAAGCATCCCTGGGCTGTGAGGTGACAAACCTGACTGTCACGTGTATGACGACACATCCGCCAGGCTCGGTGCAACTTGCCTGTTATCCTAGCTGCTCGGATGCTGATACAGGCAGATGACACACTGAAGGTCAGTGGGGTGTTCAGATTCAGTCTCAATTAAAAAAAAAAAAAAACTAGAAAGGACCAGAGAGATGGCACCTTGAGTAAAGGTGCCTGTCGCTCAGGCCTTGTGACCTGAGTTCAGTGCCTGAATCCCATGTAAAGGTGGAATGGGGGAACTGAGTCTCTCCAAAGTAGCCCCCTGACCTGCACACACACACACACCATCATCATCATGATGAAACATTTAAAATGTTTTAATCTAAAAAAGTAGGGTTGTGGGTTTGGCTCTGTGGTAGAGCCCCTGCCTAGAATCCCCCAGTGAGTGGCTGGGGTGTGGCTCAGTGGTGGAGTCCCTGTCTAGTATGTGTTATATCTTTGTTTTCCTCCCCAACAACAACAACAACAAAAGAGATGATCCTTGGTGAGGAAAGTGTGGGTACAGTGTGCAGATAAAAGAGAAGTTTGTGAGCCTTTTGATTGACAACTTTAGGGTGTGGTCAGCGGTCCAAGTGCACACAGAGAGGGCCAGGGCGGATGAGGAAGGAGCAGCACTCCTTGCTGCTCTTCCTGCATGGTTGGCCCTGGGTGGGAATTGATTATGAGGGCCCGCTTCCCATGGTCCTCATGAGGGAAGAGACTGCCTTTGTGCCTGGTTTGTCTCTTCTTCCGACTACCTACAAGCCATCTCTGGTGCAAGGCTGAGTCGTGTGTGTGTAGTTTCCTTTTATATATATAAATATATATATTGGTTTAAGTGTGTGCAGATGCTTTCCATGTTACACGTGAAGGTCAAAGGTCAACTTGTGAGCATTGCTTCTCTCATTCTATTGTGATGGTCACGGGTCTTGGACCCGTGTCTTCAGGTTTGGCTACACGTGTCTGTACCCGCTGAGCCATCTTGATGACCCTGGATTAGTTTATTTGTATATTGGTTTGTTTTTGTTTTTGAGACAAGGTCTCTCTATTATGGAGCCCTGGCTGTCCTGGAACTCACTCTGTAGACCAGGCTGGCCTCAAACTCACAGAGATCCACCTGCCTCTGCCTCCAGTGCTGCCATGTCTGGTTTTTGTTTGTTTGTTTGTTTGTTTCTTAGATAGCCCTCTCTGGCTTTGAACTTGCCGTGTGGCCATGGGTAGCCCGGAATGCCTGGTCCTCCCACCTCCACCTCCTGAGTGCTGGGATCCCGGGCATGTACCAATCACACCGGCTTTATTCGGTGCTGGCGATGGAACACAGAGCTTTTTGCAGGCTAGGCAAGCGCTCTACCAACTGCACCACGTCCCTAGACCCTCTCTCCTATTTTTTTTTATCACCCCCAACCGACACTTCTATTTTTGACAAATGTTTCTGCCCTTAGCATGGGAGACAGATTCGAGGGAACTAGACCACGAGGGGAAAGGAGCACGGGTGGATGAGGGTGGGGTTGTCCACGAGAAAGGCAGCCAGACGGCAGTCACGCTGGGCAGGGACAGCTTTGCCGGGTAGAAAGGGAGACCTCAGTGATATGTGACCCGAGGATAGAAGCTTCTTTTTCCCTTGTGTTGGTGTAATGCTTTTGCGGGTGACAGCCATGAAGCTGGACAAATGACAGAGTCTTGGAAGAGTACACAGCAGAGGAAGGTTTTCGGGGCCCTGTGATTCTTGGAAGAGAGAAGGCAGACAAAGTTTCACAGGTGGCACGGTTCATTCCCGAGCCCTCTTCCAACTCACCGACTCAGCGCTGTGAAAGGAAACAGCCACGGGGAGAGGGTCGCGAGACGGAGGCGGCTGGGTGGGGGCAGGGTCCCCTGATTTGTAGACAATTTTCCCTCCGGTTTTTGGCAAGCATACGTGCAGAAGTGAGGTGTCCCAGCAGCAGTGAGCTGAGCTTCCCCCAAGACACATGGGACGGAGCTAGAGAGGTGCAAGTAGCCATCTCAGACACCCTGAGACCCCAGCCAGGAGGTGAAGGGAGAGCTGAGACAGATCAGCCCTTCAGGAGCTGAACATGGCTGTGGGTACCTGGGAGGGAAGCACTTGGGAAGCTGGGTGAGGAGGATGGTGAGTTCTAGAACAGACGTTGATTGATTAAAAGGGATGGAAAAGAATAATTTAGAGCTGTGTGCTTGGGTGTGTTTATGTGTATTCGTGTGTGTACATGAGTATGTCAGCACTGTGTGAGCACGTGTGCATGCATGTGTGAACATATACATGTGGATGTGTGTGCTCATGTGTGTGCACTATGTGAGTACACGTGTATGCACATTTGTGCGTGTATGTACATGTGTGCGAGCATGTGTGTGCTCACATGCACGCACGTGTGCTCATACGTGTACATGTGTGTGCGTGCACAAATAGCCAGAGGAAGGAGATGAGTGTTCTATTCTGTCCCTCTCCACTTTCTTCTCTTCCTAAGTGTCTCACTAGACTTGAAGATAGACTGGCAGCCAGCAAGCCTAAGGCATCCTCCAGCCTCTCCCCCAATGCCCAAGACTGGGATCACAGGCCTGTACCACTATAATTAGTTCTGGGGATCAAATTTAGGTCCTCAAGTTTGTCCAGCCAGCGCCAACTAAGCTGTAAAGAAAAGAGCTACAGTCTGGCATGGTGGCATATGCCTATCATCCCAGCATGGTGGCATATGCCTATCATCCCAGCATGGTGGCATACGCCTATAATCCCACACATGGAGGGTGCGGTAGAAGGATTTCTGTAAATTCCAGGCCAGCCAGGTCCACTTAGCAGGTTCCAGACTGCAGAGGAAGACCTACTCTCAAAAAACCAATCAAATAAGAGCAACCCAAATAAATAAAAATGGGAAAATACTTATGTAGCTTGCGGTTTGAGAAACAGGAAGTCCACACAGTGTGCTGCTGGCTCCAGCTAAAGCTCTTCCCCCAACACATGCAAGCACACCTGCTCCCAAACCCCATCACCTCATGACTGCATGCTGAGGGAGAATTCAAAACACAGGAAACCACAGACTGGGGTGGCTCAGTGGTTAAGACACTGACTGCTCTTCCAGAGGACCCAGGTTCAGTTCCCAGTACCCACATCAGGCAATAACTCCAGTTCTGGGGTTCTACGCCCTCTTCTGACCTCTGCTGATATTGCATGCACATAAAATAAAATGAAGGAAAAAATTAAGAACAGTTTTAATTTCTGGGAGTCAACTCAAACTCCTTTCCAAAATTAATTTATTAACTAATCCCTTCCTAAAGCCATGCTGTGAACGACTGGACAGCTTCCCACTTGCTCCCCACCATAAAGGTCCTTCCCTCTTACTCTACCACTCTGAAGACTGAGCTTTCAACCACATGACCTCAGAGACAAACTACAACCACACCATGGCAGAGACAGGCAGAGACTTAGGTGTGTGGTGGCAGGAGAACCCAAGGCAACACTACACAGGCATGCATGTCAGGCCTTTGTTTTTAGTGCCGCAAATGGAAGATAGGGTTTTGAGTATGCCAGTTCTGTACGGCTGCGCCACACCCCAGCCCCTCACTGGGGGACTCTAGGCAAGAGCTCTATCACTGTGCCACACCCCAGCCTCACTTAGGGAATCCTCCTGCCCCAGTCTCCCACGTGGTTCTCTCCACTGCCATCACCATGACGGGTAAGATCATTTGTGAGACTGGAGAGAGATTTGTGAATGGACAATGAGGAAATAAAAAAGGAACTAAGATGCTTCCTGAAGGTCACATGACCCACAGTCAAAAGAGCATCCTGGGGAGAAGTGTGCTGGAAATTCCTCTTTGTTTGTTTTCCTGCGACCCAGTCTCACTATGTACCCCAGGCTAGCCCCAAAACTTGCCATCTTCCAGCCTCACCCACCAAAGTCCAGGGGTGACAGGAATGCACCACGGTGCCTGGAGAAAGATCTGCTTTTGGTTTTCGTGGATGTTTGAGGGAAGGAGCATGCTGTGGGCCTTTTAGGCATTTTTCCTTGAACAAGATAGATGATTTGGCTCCGGGTAGGATGAGTCACCTAACTGCCTTGAGCTTGCCAGTGGGCTGCCTCCACTCAGACGCAGCTCTAATCTCCTGGGTCAGGAAAGAGAGGCTGTGCCAGGCCAGAGGATGGCGTGAGCCAAAGCCTGGGGAAAAAGTGGCATGGTGTTTCCAGGGAAAAGCAACTGGTCCAATTGGCCTCCGCTAGACACTTTGAGCAAAATAACAAAGTTATCATGGATCTGTCAAGTAAGGCTTTGATCTTTTGGTTCATACATCCGTGAGTGATAATTGTGACTATAGGATAGACCATCCTGGAGTAAAGGCAGAGATAAGAATGTGCTATTTGATGAAACAGCTGGAGATAAAGGATTCTGGGTTCTGGTTACATTGTGAGACCTTGCATTCCCCCTCCCCCTCAAAAGAATTAAGGGCTAAGAATGTAACTTGATCGTAGAGCCCCTGCCTAGAATCCCCCAGTGTGGGGCTGGGGTGTGGCTCAGTGGTAGAGCCCCTGCCTAGAATCCCCCAGTGTGGGGCTGGGGTGTGGCTCAGTGGTAGAGCCCCTGCCTAGAAGAGGTGATAAATAAGATGATGAAGGAGGAGGCATTAGGAAAACTAAGGAAGGGTGTTCTAGACAATGACAACAGAATAGAGGAAGGGCTGGAGTCTGGTGAGGGTCTGTGTTCTGAGACCGGGGAGCCAGTATAGAAGAGCGCATGGGAGGAGCAGGTGCTGGGAGATGAGGCAGGAGAGGTCACCAGGACACAGTCTTCAGTAGACCTTGAATGTCGCAATCAGGTAGCTAAGCTTTATTCTAAGAACAGTGGGGAGCTATGGGAGGGTAGAGCAGAGGAGACTTTAAAGACTTCCTCCTAGGGCCGCGTGAGAGAACGAGATGGAGGGTGGTCATGGCAAGAGCAGAGGCTGAAACTGAGGGGTACCCAAGACTGAAAAGGACGGGCTAAGTTCTAGAACGGTTTGGGATAAGTAGGCTTGGTGATTGACTGATGGGTTCGGGTTCAGAGGGGAGTTCTCTGCGGAAGCTGGGCCTCTAACCCACCCCTTTCCTTTCTTCCTAGGAGGCCGGGGGATTGCCTTTCCCCGGGGCCGGTACCTTGAGTGTATGTCCTGTAGCTCTTTGGACCAGAGCTGTGAGAGGGGCCGGGAGCAGAGCCTGCAATGCCGCTCTCCTGGAGAACAGTGTGTTGAAGTGGTGACACTTCGGAGCAAGGAACGTAAGTGCTCACCTGCAGGGAGGTCCTCTTCCAGGCTGTACCTAAGGGAGGCCCTCAAGCACCAGGACTGTAGCAAGAGGCAACTGCCCCCCCCCCCACATACGAACATCCATCCTTTCTTTTAGTAGGGGTTCTTTCTGGAAATTTCACAAATGTATGAAGTTCTATTTATCATATGGGCCTCCTTTATCATACAGCAAAGGTGTTATGGTNCTGCTCTGAGACAGGGTCTCTCACAGAACACTGAGCCCATCAGTTTGACGGTGTTGGTTGCCGGCCAGCTCCAGAGATCCACTGCCTCACCTGTACTGTAGTTACAGATGAACTGTGGTGAGCCAGGCGGTGGTGGCGCACACCTTTAATCCCAGCACTCAGGACGCAGAGGACAGTGTATCCCTGTGAGTTTGAGGACAGCCTGGTCTGCAGAGTGAGTTCCAGGACAGGCTCCAAAGCTACAGAGAAACCCTGTCTCAAAAAACCAAACCAAACCAAACAGATGCACTGTGGCTTTTCCACATGGGTACTGAGACTCTGAACTCGGGCTCTCAGATTTCTGGGGCAAGCACTGTTCCAAGAGTCCTATCCCCAGACTATATATTATTGCTGATGCCTTCCAAGAAGAAATAATAATAATTCAGCCAAGACTGTATTCCCCACGATGCCCTGCAGCCAAGAGAACCAAAGTTGATGCCGTCTGAGAGGCTTTCTGTTTCACACGGAAGATAATGTCACCATGAAGCCTTGCAAAAGACATGGAGGCTAAGGTTCCTCTCCCACGATGCCTTGCAGTAGGGCTCAGAGGATAGAAATTGCCACCCTCTGGTCTCCTCTGGCAGATGTGGAAGGGTAAGGTCACATTTCTTTATTCCACACCCTGCGATGGGCCTTGGAGTCCTGGCTCCTGAGTTGGTCTTCCAGGATTTTTGGCTGCAAGAGATAAAAATCACTTTGTGCTGACTTAGGCAGAAACTGGTATCATAGAGAGGGAGGTTAGAGTCTAAGCAAAGTCCTGAGTCTCCTGAGGTTTGCAGGGGACGAGAAGGAACCTGAAAGCTGTGTAAATCAGGGCAGCTCCTTCCTGCAGACTCCGTCCCTCTGCCGCCACCTGCTGTGCACGTGTGTACCGGCTCAGGGCCTGGAGTGGGCTGGGCCGGCTGGTCATCAAGCTCCAGGGACGGCACTCCAGTCCCCTCGGTGATGGGGTCACAAGCCAATGTCACCACCTCAGCTTTTTATTTTTGCTTTTCTGGGCATCGAACTCAAGTCCTCAGGCTTGTGTGCCAACGCTACTGACTCACCTCCCTCAAAGCCCCCCATCCTCTTCTCCCCCTGCATTCACTGTTCCCCCTCTCTCTCCCCTTGCTCTCTCCCCCTCCCTCCCCACCTCCCTCCCTCTCATATTTCTTCCCTGAGCCGCCCCCCCGCCTTTCTTTCTAGACTGCCTACTTGGACTTCCCACATAGTAGACAAATACGCCTACCGTGGGGCTAAAGACCAAAACCATTTGAATCCCCCCCTTTTTTTCTGCAAGTTCTCACATTTTAGATAAAGGATCCACCAAGGCCAGTTCTGCCCACGGCTCTCCTCTGCTTGGGGCCAGGGAAGGTCACCCCCATCCAGTGGTTCTCATGAAGCAGGGGAATCAGGAAACAGACGCTGTGGGAGGGATCTGCCACAAGTAAGGAGAAGTAACTGGGGAAAAAAAAAGCCAAAAAGAGTTCTCACCACTTAGAACATTCTAGTTGGCAAGCGGGATTGCTTCCACATACTCTGGACTAATCACGTGGCCAAGACAGCACCCAACTCACACTGGTTGGAAGTAAAAAGGAAATTGATTTTCTCATATAAAAAACAGTGTGAGTTAGGGGAATTCCTGCATTGATTCAGTATCCTAAATGTCCTAAATGTCCCAGGCTTGTCTACCTCATAACCTCAAGATGGCTGCCTCCAAGCCGAGCGATGGTGGCGCACTCCTTTAATCCCAGCACTCAAGAGGCAGAAGCAGGTGGATCTCTGTGAGTTCGAGACCAGCCTGGTCTACAGAGCTAGTTCCAGGACAGGCTCCAAAGCCGCAGAGAAACCATGTCTCGAAAAAAAAAAAAAATGGCTGCCTCCATCCTCGGCCTCACACCTTTGTTGGGAGTCAGTAGCAAAGGGTCACTTACTCCAGCGATTTCTTTGGGAAAATGAAGGAAAACATGCTTTTAAACATTCAGTGGACAAACCCGGCTTGGTGTTTCCTTTCCCTGACTTGGTTCCCGTGCCCTTGCATCCTGCAGTAATTTGAAGATGTAGACACCAGAACAAGATCACTGTTGTTCTTCAAAAGGAGCAAGGGGTGTGGCAGTTCACATTTCCCTGCCTGCAACTGCCTCTCCGCCACCCACCTGGGCTTGAAGGCTGACTGCCACTCTGACCAGAGGCAGGACCTATGGCCCCGCCCCCCTTGGCCATTGTCTTAGCTGCGGTTCTATCACTGAGACAAAAAATGCTTTGACCAAAGCAACGGAGAAAAGAAAGCCTTTAGGACCAGGCAGTGGTGGCACACGCCTTTAATCCCAGCACTGGGGGTGGGGTGGGGCAGAGGCAGTAGGGTCCCTGTGAGTTCAAGGCCAGCCTGGTCTACAGAGGGAGTTCCAGGACAGGCTCCAAAACCACAGAGAAATCCTGTCTCGAAAAACAAAAAAAAACAAAAAAACAAAACACAACAAAAAAAAAATAAAAAAAAGACAGATGGCTAATGGCTGTCACAGTGAATGTCACTCTGTATGGTAACCTCTGAGAGAACAGGGCTTGTTTCATAATACACAGTTAGTTAAGGGTCCCCCAAAAAGCCTTGCTGGATGTGGGTGGGGCTCAGTTCTAGAGAACAGGACCCCAAAAGAAAGTGTAGTTCCCACATATGACCGCCAGGTGGCGCCCTAGCATCTCGGGCTGAGCGTGGGCAGATGTTGGATGGTTGCAAGGTCCCAATGTTTATCTTCGGTCCCTGTCTTTTTTTCATCTTTAAGTTCTGGATCTTCAGGGCTTACCACCGAATGGCTTCCAGTGCTACAGCTGTGAGGGGAACAGCACCCATGGGTGTTCCTCCAAAGAGATTTCCCTCACTGACTGCCGGGGACCAATGAATCAGTGCCTGGAGGCCACTGGCTTAGATGGTAAGGTCCCTTGGGAGCTGGAAGGGACCCTCTGGGACACAGGGCACTGACCAGACTGATTGACAGATGGACAGGACCTATCCTGGGTGGATTTTCCTATGGAAAAGATGGTACTTATCTGCATAAAGGGCAAATCGCAGTAAGAGGATTGGCCCTGTCAAACCAACATCAATCCGCCTTGTTACATATTAACTAAATAATTTTTGAGACAGGGTCTCACTATATAGCCCTGGCTACCCTGGAACTCTATGTAGACCAGACTGGCCTCAAACTCACAGAGAGCTGCCTGCCTCTGCCTCCCAAGTACTGGGATTCAAGGCGTGCCCCATTATAGCTGGCCTCATAAATAATAGTATTGATGATGGGGGGAAAATAGCCTGTGTTTGTCATAATGAAACAGGGCAAAGAGGGGACTGTCATTGTTTATGGTGTGGCAACCCTCTTCCCGTCTGGATCTAATATCGGACATCTGGTCCTCGTTGTCTGCTTTCATGTTCAGCCTGTTGCAATATCAGTTGTCCTGGGGTTTCTCTGGAAAAGTATCTCTCAGCCACTCAGATGCTCGGAAGGGCCAGATGACATCTTAGAGTTCCTATGAAAGCAAACCTGGTGTGAGTCTGAGAGACTGCCGGGGGTCCTCTGGAACACATTTCGGGAGCAGTGCTCACAATAGGGGATGCGGGTGGCTATAGCGACCAGCACCAGGAGCCTGCCTCTTTCCTGAGAATTCCTGGCTCACTGACCCTCCTCCTTCCTCAGTGCTGGGAAACCAGAATTACACTGTGCGGGGCTGCGCCACAGCTTCCTGGTGCCAAGGCTCCCATGTGGCAGACGCCTTCCTCCTGACCCACCTCAACGTCTCCTGCTGCGACCGCAATGGCTGTAATGGCCTCAGAAGCGCTGCCCCTGGGCCAGGCGCTGCCCACCTGAGCCTCGTCATCTCCCTGCTCCTGACCTTCAGACTGTGGGGTGTCCTCCTCTGGACGTGAGGTTGAGCCCCCAGCCCTGGCTGGATCCAGGGACTTTGTCCTCCCTCGTGTGCGCCATTGTGTTGTCTTCGGGCCTCAACTTTTCGAAGAACCAGAAGAGAAGCAGAGCAAAGGCTGCAGGCAGCGGGGGCTCTTGGCAAATATTGTTGCTATTGTTATTATTAACATTGTTACTCCTCTAATTTATTTTATATAAATAAATAAATAAAAGATTTTTGTACCAGTGAACAAGGCAGGAGCTTGTCACATTTAGCTTTGAGATGAAAGTGGGAAGGGGGTGTCTCTTTTCTTTGATTTTATTTTGAGACAAGGTCTCACTCTGTGATCTTGGCTGTCCTGGAACTCACTCTGTAGACCAGGCTAGCCTCAAACTCAGAAATTCGCCTCTCTCTGCCTCCTGAGTGCTGAGATTAAAGGTGTGGGCCACAATACCCAGCTTCTCGCCTCATTGATTTTTTTTGTTATTGTTTTTTTTTCCCCCAAGATAGGGTTTCTCTGTGGCTTTGGAGCCTGTCCTGGAACTAGGTCTTGTAAATCAGGCTGGCCTCGAACTCACAGAGATCCGCCTGCCTCTGCCTCCTGAGTGCTGGGATTAAATGTGTGCACCACCACCTCCCGGCTCTGTTTTTTTTAATGATTTATTTATTTTTATTTATGTGCATTGGCATTTTGCCTGCCTGCCTGCCTGCATGTCTGAATGAGGGCATCAGTTCCTCTGGAACTGGAACTACAGACAATTGTAACCGGCCAGGTGGGTGCTGGGAGTTGAACCCCTGTTCTCTGGAAGAGCATCCATTTCCCCCCAGCCCCTCACCGCTCTGCTCTGAGACAGGGTCTCTCACAGAACACTGAGCCCATCAGTTTGACGGTGTTGGTTGCCGGCCAGCTCCAGAGATCCACTGCCTCACCTGTACTGTAGTTACAGATGAACTGTGGTGAGCCAGGCGGTGGTGGCGCACACCTTTAATCCCAGCACTCAGGACGCAGAGGACAGTGTATCCCTGTGAGTTTGAGGACAGCCTGGTCTGCAGAGTGAGTTCCAGGACAGGCTCCAAAGCTACAGAGAAACCCTGTCTCAAAAAACCAAACCAAACCAAACAGATGCACTGTGGCTTTTCCACATGGGTACTGAGACTCTGAACTCGGGCTCTCAGATTTCTGGGGCAAGCACTGTTCCAAGAGTCCTATCCCCAGACTATATATTATTGCTGATGCCTTCCAAGAAGAAATAATAATAATTCAGCCAAGACTGTATTCCCCACGATGCCCTGCAGCCAAGAGAACCAAAGTTGATGCCGTCTGAGAGGCTTTCTGTTTCACACGGAAGATAATGTCACCATGAAGCCTTGCAAAAGACATGGAGGCTAAGGTTCCTCTCCCACGATGCCTTGCAGTAGGGCTCAGAGGATAGAAATTGCCACCCTCTGGTCTCCTCTGGCAGATGTGGAAGGGTAAGGTCACATTTCTTTATTCCACACCCTGCGATGGGCCTTGGAGTCCTGGCTCCTGAGTTGGTCTTCCAGGATTTTTGGCTGCAAGAGATAAAAATCACTTTGTGCTGACTTAGGCAGAAACTGGTATCATAGAGAGGGAGGTTAGAGTCTAAGCAAAGTCCTGAGTCTCCTGAGGTTTGCAGGGGACGAGAAGGAACCTGAAAGCTGTGTAAATCAGGGCAGCTCCTTCCTGCAGACTCCGTCCCTCTGCCGCCACCTGCTGTGCACGTGTGTACCGGCTCAGGGCCTGGAGTGGGCTGGGCCGGCTGGTCATCAAGCTCCAGGGACGGCACTCCAGTCCCCTCGGTGATGGGGTCACAAGCCAATGTCACCACCTCAGCTTTTTATTTTTGCTTTTCTGGGCATCGAACTCAAGTCCTCAGGCTTGTGTGCCAACGCTACTGACTCACCTCCCTCAAAGCCCCCCATCCTCTTCTCCCCCTGCATTCACTGTTCCCCCTCTCTCTCCCCTTGCTCTCTCCCCCTCCCTCCCCACCTCCCTCCCTCTCATATTTCTTCCCTGAGCCGCCCCCCCGCCTTTCTTTCTAGACTGCCTACTTGGACTTCCCACATAGTAGACAAATACGCCTACCGTGGGGCTAAAGACCAAAACCATTTGAATCCCCCCCTTTTTTTCTGCAAGTTCTCACATTTTAGATAAAGGATCCACCAAGGCCAGTTCTGCCCACGGCTCTCCTCTGCTTGGGGCCAGGGAAGGTCACCCCCATCCAGTGGTTCTCATGAAGCAGGGGAATCAGGAAACAGACGCTGTGGGAGGGATCTGCCACAAGTAAGGAGAAGTAACTGGGGAAAAAAAAAGCCAAAAAGAGTTCTCACCACTTAGAACATTCTAGTTGGCAAGCGGGATTGCTTCCACATACTCTGGACTAATCACGTGGCCAAGACAGCACCCAACTCACACTGGTTGGAAGTAAAAAGGAAATTGATTTTCTCATATAAAAAACAGTGTGAGTTAGGGGAATTCCTGCATTGATTCAGTATCCTAAATGTCCTAAATGTCCCAGGCTTGTCTACCTCATAACCTCAAGATGGCTGCCTCCAAGCCGAGCGATGGTGGCGCACTCCTTTAATCCCAGCACTCAAGAGGCAGAAGCAGGTGGATCTCTGTGAGTTCGAGACCAGCCTGGTCTACAGAGCTAGTTCCAGGACAGGCTCCAAAGCCGCAGAGAAACCATGTCTCGAGAAAAAAAAAAAAAAAAAAAAAGATGGCTGCCTCCATCCTCGGCCTCACACCTTTGTTGGGAGTCAGTAGCAAAGGGTCACTTACTCCAGCGATTTCTTTGGGAAAATGAAGGAAAACATGCTTTTAAACATTCAGTGGACAAACCCGGCTTGGTGTTTCCTTTCCCTGACTTGGTTCCCGTGCCCTTGCATCCTGCAGTAATTTGAAGATGTAGACACCAGAACAAGATCACTGTTGTTCTTCAAAAGGAGCAAGGGGTGTGGCAGTTCACATTTCCCTGCCTGCAACTGCCTCTCCGCCACCCACCTGGGCTTGAAGGCTGACTGCCACTCTGACCAGAGGCAGGACCTATGGCCCCGCCCCCCTTGGCCATTGTCTTAGCTGCGGTTCTATCACTGAGACAAAAAATGCTTTGACCAAAGCAACGGAGAAAAGAAAGCCTTTAGGACCAGGCAGTGGTGGCACACGCCTTTAATCCCAGCACTGGGGGTGGGGTGGGGCAGAGGCAGTAGGGTCCCTGTGAGTTCAAGGCCAGCCTGGTCTACAGAGGGAGTTCCAGGACAGGCTCCAAAGCTACAAAGAAACCCTGTCTCAAAAACCCAAAAAGAAAAGAGAAAAGAAAAGAAAACCTTTATCAACGCAATGATCCCTAGTGGTATTCTGCTATGCTCATAGATTGGTGCCTGGTCCAGTTGTCCTCAGGGAGGAGTCACCCAGCAACTGATAGGAGCAGATGCAGATACCCACAGCCAAACACTAGGCAGAGCCAGGGGAACCCTGAAGAAAAGGGGAGGAAGGGTTGTAGGAGCCAGAGGGGTTGAGGACACCAGGAGAACATAGCCCTGAATCAGCTAAGCTGAGCTCACAGGGACTCACAGAGACTGAACCACAGCATCACCGAGTCTGTATGGGTCTGAACTGAGTCCTCTGCATATATGTTGTGTGTAGCTTGGTGTCCTTGTGGGACCTCTTACAGCGGGAGTAGGGGTGTCTCTGACTCTTTTGCCTGCACTTGGGACCCTTTCCTCCTACTGGATTGCCTGCAATTCCAAGGGAACTAACAGCCTTGATACGAGGGTCTGTGCCTTGCCCCATTGTAATGTGTTATTCTGTGTATGGCTGATATCCCTGGGAGGCCTGCTCTTTTGGGGGGGTGGGGGAACGGAGGAGTGGATCCAGGGGAGAGGGGAGGGGTGGGGGACTGGAAGAATTGGAGGTAGGGGAAACTGCCATCGAGATAAAATGTATGTAAAGAATAAAAATTAAAATAAAAAGCCTTTAATTGGGCCTATGTTCAAGTTGGAGTCCATGGCAGAGGAGCACAGGCAAGGCAGCAGGAACAGCTGAGAGCTCACATCTCCATGAGTTAAGGAGAAAGAGCCAAGAAGGAATGGTGCCAGTCTTTTGAGCCCTCAAAGCCAGCCCCCAGTGACACACCTCCTCCAAGAAGGCTACACCTCCTAATCCTTCCCAAAAAGTCCCATCAAATTGAGACCAAGTATCCAAACATATGAGCCTATGGGTGCCATACTCATTCAGACCCCCACAGTCACAGACACTGGCTTAGGGACAGATGAGTGACAACCATCTGGCACAGGGAGACACAAATCCTAGGATTCAAGAGATAGAGGTATGATCTGAGGTCAAGCCTGGGCTAAAGTGGGACACTTTGTGTGCTGGGGCAGGGAGGAGAGGAGAAGGGAGGCTGAGAGATGGTTCACGCTAAGAGTATCTGCTGTCAATCCTGAGGACCAGAGTTGGGGTCCTACAACACGTGTAACAAGCCAGGCATGGAGCAAATGCCTGTAATTCCAAGGGAACTGACAGCCCTCCCCCCCCCCTTCCAAGTATGAGAACACACACACAGAGAGGGGGGAGGGAGAGAGGGAGAGAGAGAGAGAGAGAGAGAGAGAGAGAGAGAGTGTGTGTGTTACACATGACAGACAGCAGTCATCCTGTAGTTTTGGCTTTACCTGGCCATCTATCTATCCTGAGAACGGACGGCTCCTCTCATCTTGAAAGATGGCTGGCAGATAGCCCTGGGGCTAGAATTACCAGGGAGGCTGGGCAGGGGGAAGAAAAGGACAGTTGAACAAAGAAAGCTACTGAAGGAAACTCATAGGCAAGATCACCTCCCTCACTGAAACGGGACCTCGTGGAGGCCATACTAGCTCCAAATTACGCAGTGGAAGCTGGCCTTGAACTCTGGCCATCTCCTGAGCACTGAGAATACAGGCATGCACCACCATGTCTGGCTTCTGTGGTGCTGGGAATAGTGCCGGGTTCTGTGCCTACCGGAAAAGCGCTCCATCCCCTGAACCCTGTCCCCAGACCACTCGACCCATTTTTCCTTCACCAGCTGGGTTGGGGTTTGTGTCACTTGCACCAAAACCCTATGAACAGAGAGCCTTGAAGGGACAGTACTCTCCCATGACCTGCCCTCCCACGAAAGATGCCAGTCCCTCCCAGAGTGCCCACAAGTCGGGGAAGAAGACATCAGCTAGAGACTAAT